TCTTCCTGTGCCTCAGTTCCACGTTTGCTTTAAGGGGAGCAGGTTCCCACTTCATAGGATTATGAAAGTACAAGGTTGAGGCCCTCACATACCTAGCATCAGAGGCAGATATGCAGTAAAATATTATTCACATGTCGTTGCTGTTTGGTCTGCTTTTAGACTACCTCAGTTAGTAGTTTGTATGTCCAGCACGGTTACTGAATAACTGTTGTTAACCATTAGCAAATTCTCAGTAAACACAAAATTAATTAAAATTCTATCTTTGTAGCTGTTCCAGTTTCAAAAGTTTCAAGAATATATGCTGTTTACATAAACATGCAATAGCATTCAGAAGATAGGTAAAGCACTCTCAGGTCTTACTTTTAATGCCTTAATAGACCTTAATTCAAGAGATGCAGATAGGATTTTCATCCTGTTTAATAGCAACCAGATTGCTGTTTTGTATACTTATAATTTTAAAATTTGTTCTTGATGACCAAACAGGGAATGTAACTTTCTATCTGCAACTAATATCATGTAAATAACAACTGCAAAACCAGTAAGAACTACTATCCATACTCACTATTTGCATATTCAAAGGGCTAGAAACTACAGAAAAAAAATAGGTTAACCTTCCATTCAGCTGCTGTTTATAACTTTAATCAATCAAGAGGAAGTCATCAATACACTGTTTCTCTTTTCCTATGTCAAAGGAATCTGTCAGTTCATTTGGCCTCCAAGGGCATCCTTCTTCACATATACGGCTCAAACACTTATAAGACTGTAAGATGAAGTGATACATGATAACTAACTCTACTCTGTTAAAGTTTGCCTTCATACAGGTAGGTGACCAGTAAAAATATTAAGAACTCCTTCAGAAACTATTAAAATTAGAGGTTATCAGTTGTAATTAGATGATTACAAATGTGCTTTCTAGTGAAGGAATAGAAAATTCTATCCCATGATTCCACTTGAAGCTTGTGAATTTTTTTTTTGACATTATCCAGATCCAAAGCTCTAACTTTTCTTAGAGATGACAGCTGGAGCCCTGAAGCGGGGCTCAAGATAAATGAGTTCCATTTCTGGCTTAACAGGAGACTCCTGGTGTCAAATGCTAACTTCTATGTGCCTTGTTTTCCAAACGTTTATTAGCAAATAAAGTAATGCTTTCCCTTCTGTAGTCTTTTGTGTACTACTTTTGTATAGCTGATGAAGCCTAAGATGGCCAAGACTAGCCCAGAATTTCTCTGGTCTCAGAACGCCTTGAACTTATGGAGCATAATAGTAGTTCTTGCTCGTATCCTTAGTTTTTACAGAGATTTTTTTGTTGTTGTCATTAAGAGGGCAAGTGTTAAGCTTGGGTAGTAAATATTACAGAATTTTTACTTTTAACCTAAAAATATCTATCTTGCACTTTTGCACTAAGCTGATGAAAGGACTTGTGATTATTAGATTGTTCACTCTTCATCTGATTTCTTTCATCATTTATAAATGGTTTCTTAGCTGATTAAAGTTTTATCAATTTTTTTTGTTCAATTTGTTGTTCTGTAAAACCTTTTCACAGCACGAAACACATATGAAAACAGCCCAATGTAGAAATTAATCTAGGATGCATTTAGTTGTAGTCTGAAGGCATATGCAGTATCTCGACATTCTAGTCTAAACTTCTGATCATTTTACTTAAATTTGCAGAGTTTCTCAACCAATTGAATTCACATTTTCTTTTTCAGAAAGATTGTGAACGATATCCAGGACAAAATATGGTCAGTATCTCACAGAAAGGGGATGTCTCTAGGTATATCAACTCTATTCCTCCTCCAGTATAGAAATTCCACAATTGAATGTCTGAAACCAAAGGGACTAAAATCAAGCTTGATGAACTTTTACTTCTTAAAACAATACTCAAGCCTGTTAACATATAGACTTTCTGTACATTTTTTAGTTCTAGCTGCCAAAAATCATAGAATGATTCATTTTGGAAAACACCTCTGGATGTCATTTAGCCAGGATCATGTCCAGCCAGGCTTTGAATATCTTTGAATATCTTCAATTGAATATCTTTGAATATCTTCAAGGATGTAGATTCCACCCCCTTTCCAGACCATCAGTCCCCCATTTCTGACTAGACTCACAAACAGTTTCCTTTTTTTTTTTTTTTTTTTCCTTATTTCTATTTTCTGTGTCCTGTGTTCCTGTGGCTGTTTCCTCTTGTTCTTTTTCTATGCAGTTTAAGAACAAACTGGCTCTACCTCTTCTACAACCTATAGCCTGAACAGGTCTCTCTGCATAACAACTCTACCCTTCAGCAGATTAGCCTCTTCATGATTTCTTGAGATTGTCTATGAGCTTGCTGGGAGGGAATTCATCCCATTATCCATCATCTCATCATCCAGGTCATTAAAGAAGACATCAAACAGTATTGGTCCTTGTATTGGTCCTTATAAATCACCCTTAAATCCTTGTCACCACCTGGATTCTGTATTGCTGATCACAATTCATGAAGTCCAGCAGTCTAGTTAGAGTTTTGCATTCACATTATTTTGATCTTATCTAGTTCATATTTCATTAATCTGGCAATAAAGATATTATAAAAAGTAGCATTGAAAGCCTTTTAAGAAGACAAGGTGAACTAAACTTCAGAAAGACCACAACCACAGCACTCCCCTGGTCAATAGTCAAAGGCTATCAGTTTGACTAAGTATTATTTCCATTGACTAGGAATTGCCTTCTGAATTTGTAAGTGATTGTTTATGTCACCCAGAACAAGCTGGATATATATAACAGCTTTGAAACAGTAAGAGGCTGCTTGCCTGAGTACATAATATTATGATATTTCTTTACTGTTTCTCAATTTTTAATTTCACTTAGAAAGAAAAAATCAAAAAAAAAAATCTATAAATGACTACACCCGCAAAGTGTGCACACTATTCACATTTCTGGTGAAAAACTTGAGATATTTTTTACCATCATTAGTTTTTTTAGTTTTGATAATTTCATATAATCTTTCCTGCCTCAGAAATATTGGATCATTTGACATGCCATGTAAATACTTCTCCTGGATAAGAGATCACTTCTCAATGTATAATTAAAGTGCCAAGTATCTAAATCAACTAAACATTATGAACATGCTCACTGTCTATGACTCTCTCCTTTATTGTGAAATTGGATGATAAAAGATTCTTCCTTTTTCAAACATTGCTGAGATGTTTCTCTCTTCTTGATACCTGAAGATTGTTAATTTATGCCAGAAAATGGGAGAAAATGCATTGTCTTTCCCAGTTCACTTTTTGACAGAAAACACTATTCCATTCTGAATATCAGCTGTAAAAGCTTAATGAAACAAAATAAATGATGGCTAGAGAGACAGAAAAAAAAAAAAAATGGAAACACAATGATTAGAAAAATGTGGGTCTACTAAGTACACAAATCTCTGGGATATCTAGGTGATAGTCTTCCTCATCCTTTCTAAATTTTGAGGGGTTAATAAGACAATATTATCTAGATTGATATCTCCCACTTGAAATTTTCCCTCTTTGGACATATAATTTCCTTCATGGTTGGCCACCAGTGAAGATATAAAAAATGAAGGAATTATTATCAACATTTAAGGACTATTCCAGACACGCAGAATTGTAAGGAGCACTACAGTATACTGTGTATTTACCCTATTTATTGTCATCCTTTCTTTAACATACTCTCTCTGTGACTTCACCCAAGACATCTAAGTATTTTCCCTCATCTTGCAGCTGTTTCACCTCTGCCTGCTAAGGACTGTCTCCATAGGAGCACTAGCATTATTGTCAGTGAAATCACAGAATCATAGAGTCATCATGGTTGGAAAAGACCTTCAAGATTGTCAGGTTCAACCTTAAGTCCTTCAAC